TGGTTTGGTTGTTGTTGTTTTTTGTTTTGGTGGTGGGTGGTGGTTTTTGTGGGGTTTTTTTGTTTGTTTTTTTTTTTTTTTGGTGGTTGGACTCGATGATCTCAGAGGTCCCTTCCAACCATGATGACTCTGTGATTCTGTGATTCTGTGACCCTTATCGTAACTATTATGGCATACATTCCAGATCTTGATAATTGCTACAGCTTTCTGAAAAGTTGGTGTTTATTAAGTGGGTTGAATAAAGTAGGGGGATGGGAATGTGTTAAGTAAAGGAGAAGTTTGGGCTCTCTAACCACTTATGATTTAGTTGAAACTGATACACACATTTCGCACAAGTGTTAGTACTTAGTAGTAGCTAAAAGCTACCTTAGAATTTGCTTCAATTTTAATTCCGTTCCAATCTGCCTTTTTCTATCCCCTCCTAGACTGCTAAATTTTTCATTAAGCCTGTAGCTTTTCAGTCCCATTATTTCTGCCTGATGTATGTGTACTCCGGGGAGTTCTCTGAAATAGGATTAGATTGGCCTGCTACTCAGACTACTGAAACCACACTATGCTAACCACATTGACCACAAAGCTAACAAGAAAGGATTTATCTAAGGACACCCCTTGTTAACTCTGATTAAGAACGGATGTGTTATGTTGTTCTTTGCCTCTTTATTTTTGCCTTTTTTCTACCTCCTTGAGCTCATGTGCTGAATACAACTAATTGTCCAAATTTGTGGGTGAATTCACCTCCAGGGAAGCTGTGGATGCCCCATACCTGGAGGTGTTCAAGGCCAGGCTGGATGGGGCTTTGATCAACCTGGTCTAGTGAGAGGTGTCCTTGCCCATGGCAGGAGGGTTGGAACTCAATGATTTTTAAGGTCCCCTCCAACCCAAATCATTCTATGATTATACGATTCTGTGATTCTCTGTCTAGCGTGTGGAGTCACGGAGATGTGAACAGGCGGGCACACTGCTCTGCAGTGGGTGTTTCTACTCCCAACCTCCTGCCATGGCTCTGCTCTTGTTCCACCACCCCCTGTTCTGCTACGTACCCTGTGCTCACACAGACCAGGGTGTGAGCAGGTACACAGGGCGCAGTCACCCCATGCACGGTGCAACTGGATGGAATCAGCAAGATGTTTCTCTCCCAAACTTTCACTCCTGTTTCTTGACTTACTCATTTAGATCTAAAGCCTGGAAGATTTCTAAAGAGACAACTGGGTTTAATGATCTTAATGATCTTTTCCAACCTAAGATGTTCTATGATCCTATGATGGTTGTTTTGCAACTTGATGATCTGCTGTGATAAAGCTGTTGCCTCCTCTCACTAGACAAAATATACTAAAACCAAGTAAACTTTGTGAATGATCCAATACTCCAAATCATCATATTGCAAATTAGGTAGTGCCTTTGATTGTCAATGAGTCAGAGGGAACACAGTGGATGTATTCATTGATTTCAGTGAAAACATTTATATTTATTGAAGACAAAGCAGTATTAAGATGACAGAGCACTTTTTATCCTTCTTTTCTATAAAGGAGATGCTTTTAAAATAGAAGATTTTTTGCACTGTATCCTTCTTTCTCCTACAGTTTTCCCTTAATGAAGAAACATGTAGCTATTATTTTTAATGAATGTCTGTCAGCTAGATATCCTTTATAGATATTTCTACTGTTTTTTACAGATATTTCTTCCTCAAATAGTGTGGCAACATTTTGTAGGTATGATGTGTTTATGATTGTGTTTATCTATACAGCTGGTATTGTGTTTCAGAAAATGTATAACTTTTATCCATCTATTTATTTTCTGTGACAGAAAAATAAATCATCAAAGTACCAGGTCTGCAGTACAGTTCAACCTTTGGAACAGCTAATGTAACTAGGATTAGAACATGCCTTGCATTTAAATAAATGAATAAAAAACTTTCATTTTTTTTTCTCTCTGATATAATGTTTTTCCATTCATTTTTGTTTTCCTTTTCCTTAGGATGCTCTTTGATATTTTCTATGTTGGGTTTTGTGGCTGAGGGTCACTGTTGCGTGGGCTATGGCTCCTCACTCAGTGGCCAGCCCTGGTCCTGTCTCTGACCCCAACTCTCAGGATTTAGGATTCCTCTGCTGGTGTCTCTTGTTCCTCAAAGTTTTCACTGACTCTGCAGGGTCCATGTGGTCAAACTTCAGACTTGTTCCTTTCCTGCCACAGTGCTGGCTTTCCCTTTGGGCAGAAAGTGCTGACTCTGGCTGGATAAAGTCTCCATATCATGCTCCCTAAGGGGCTCTTTGTCAGCAGGCTTCACCAGCTGCAGAGATGCTTCTAGCTATGATGCTGGTTCCTCCCTGTAGTCCTCTGTAACATTAATGCTCTCCTTTAGGCAAACTGACCTTTCAGATTTCCTCTGAAGCAGCTATAGCTTCCAGATATAGGAACTTTGTGCTCATCAGTACTACTCTTGCAATTCTTACAAAACAAAGGCATGTGTGACAATGCTGAGAGATACAGTATAGAAGTTAAATTAAAAAAGAATTATGATCTTCAAAAACTAAGTTTTTGTGCAATTCTTGAGTTTGATTAAGGTACCTCAGTCTCTGACTGAGAAATGCAGGGAAACTCTGAAAGCAGATATTTAGAAACATCAAACTATAATCTCAAAGAACCTTATCACCTTTTATACAATTATAACTTTACACAATTCTGACAATTTAAATTTACAACCCCTTTAAATTTTTTTACTCTCTAAGGTTGCTTGACTTTAAATGATCTTATTGTACTGGAAATAACCAAACCCTAAAAATTTTTAGTATCTCTTTGAAGGAAAACCTAATTGCCTGGTCATTGACTACATGTCAACTGTCAGGGTTTCCTGTTGTTTGCTTCCCTCATTTAGTTTTCTTTATAAGTAAAAGAAGATAACTTATTTTTCAGGAAACTGTGATAGTTAAAATCCTTTCTTCCAAAAAATATTCTGGTTTTCATAATGAATAAAAGTCCAGGAAAAGATAGCTGTTTCTGCAGAAGTTATGTTTTATTCATATTGTAACGGTATTTTGCATACCAGGTCACATGTAAAAGTTCCCTACAAATGTGTGGGTTTAGCAAATTTGAGCTCTCAACCATGTAATCTCTGTAGGAGGAAAGTTGTTAGAAACAAACTTGCTTTTCCTGGCACTTATGATTTGAAATCAACTTCCTTTTATGATTAATAATGAATTTCCTCTTAGAAACTATGTTATGTGTTGCCCGTTTTGTGATAAGAGCTATATCAAGATGTTGACTGGTAGCCTTTGTCAGTGGCAATAAATGGAAATAGTCCCAATCCTAAATTTTTAACAAGTTTCTCAGTTTGTTTTGCTTAAGAACCCATTCAGTTTGTTCTGGTTCTTTATTGAGGGACTTTTCCCCGCCTCTTTCAAAATGCTTCTATTTTGAGACAAATGCCAGCTGGAAAAAACAAAAATTGAAATGTGTAAGAAACAAAAAATCTGATATTTTGACTTATTAAAAAATTCCTTATTAATATATTTTAAGCATTCTCAGATTTAATTTCAAGCTTATACTTTGTTTTGTCTACCAAAGTTTGTCTTTAAAAATTCTATTCTGAGCAATTATGTAGATGCAAATCCATATTAATCCAAATTAGTAATTTTGATTGATGACACTTTGGGCAGACACAATTATTGGTGCTTTCAGAATCAGGCATTTAGCTGATGCAGTTAAGAAGCTTAACTGAATATCTATTTATGTGATATTATTCCTTTAAAAAAAAGTAAAGCATATCAAAAGACTGTATGTTTCAATTGAAAACAGTGAAATTTTTGAGGTAGAATTGACTTGTGTTTGCTTTGTGGTTTTTTGTGTTTTTTTTTTCACCAAAGCACAAGAGTTCTGTTGGAAGACAAGAGAAATTCTCTAATAAGAGATTTTTAACATTCTCTTAGAAATAATGGGATGCATAAGCTTTCAGATTTATGGCGTGTATGCACTGAGGATATAAATGACTCAGGGGCATCCATTTTTCTGTAATGG